TTCATGTGACATCAGAGTAAATCATGTGACAGGCTGTAAAATTGGCTGTGCATACTCTTCGCCGGTCTGGAAAATGTGTTTAATTAACTCACATTCAAGCAACAATGTAGATTTCCCAGTGGGAGTGAGACTGTTCGACTAAAAAATAGGGGTGTTTTCAGCAAAAAACGAATAACCCTGGAATATACACACAATATACTGAATTTCGGAACAAATCGTGCATTACTTACAGCAGCAGAATACCACAGAAATATCAGACGAAACATGAAAACACTATATATTGCATTTCAGCCTGAACCCTCTATATTGCAATTCAAGGAATTAACCCCATATGTGCATCCATTTCCCACCTTGGTATCACCCACCCCTGAAAACAAACTCTTAATACCACGCTGAAGCGTTTGGTAATAAATACAAAGTTGATACTAATAAACTAATATAGATGACGTAACAGAAATGTTCATTGTTTCCCACCTGAAAATACCATGATGGGTTACGTGTATAACCTATGAACCTTTCCTGAAAGTCACGCCCTCTAGTGACCGAGTGCTTTGTGACGACATTGGGTACAAGAGACGCCTTTCAGAGATGCATTAATCATTGATATATTATGAGATTATTACGAGGATACCTCAAAGTATGCACAAAGACAGTACAGCAGGAGAATCCTCGTAATAACCTTATTATTATACATCTTTTCCTTCCAAGGATACATCATGGAGATGCCGAAATCCAAAACGTTTAGAACAGCATCAGAGAACTTCTTTGTGTGAAGTCCAGTCAAACCCTGGTGGCAGCCATGTTTGTTTTTATCACATGTGTTAGAGGATTCTCACGCGCGTAATCGTTCCACCATGATTTGGAATTCGCATTTCCTAATATGGTATGATGAAAATACCTCGTAAAATAACTGTTTAACTTGTAATGCTCCATACACTGAATATAATCATTGTAAGTTGAGTGTTTCTCAGAACTTATAAGTAGGATTATAGTTTTTTTCTCTACTTACAGACCTATATTTCCAAGGTATGTGCTCTACCACCGGCACTGGCTCAAAAACACACACACACACACACCACGTACACGAGTAATCAGAGTGTAGCCACGCTGCCACGATTGTACCTCGGGATATATTAAACAATATGTAATAATATAAAATGAATACAATAATAGTGACAACATTTACATTTATGTAAATATGATGGTATTGCCGCAAATTTTTGTTTCGTTTTCGTTTTCTTTATCAAATTTTTGTGTGTTTTTTTTATAAAAGTTTGTTGTTTCCCTTTTTCAATTTGAAGACACATTTATTATTTCACTCCCAATCAAAACACGTTTGATTAAATATTAAGAATAGATATAACAACTAAATCACGAGTCAGAAATTTGTTGAGATGGAAAATTCATCTGCATTGCAAGCCCACCTAATGATGAAAAGCGGTCACATTCATCGTCAGGGTAATAACGAAAGCCTAATTCAATGTTATTATTGTCCGTGTGATAACCAGGACAACGGAGAGAAGTGGTATCCATAGCAACATCGTCAGTATTCTCAGACATTATCTGTTCCGAATGATTGATGTACAGATGGCAATCACTGCGGTCAGATGTAACACGTCGTTCAGGCGGTGCGGGAATACTACACTCTGGGTTTGATGGGAATGTGTACGTGTCCATTGCGCAATGTTTTTGGGTTACAAACTCTTCGTTTATTCCATTCAAGGCTTTTTTAAGTTTCGTTTTGAGGTGTCTTTTCCCATGACGCCCAAGTGATCGGCCGGGCAATCGATTCAAGTTTATATACAGTGAATCCGCATCTCTGGGCATTCGGTAATGGGTCCCGAATACTTTGATAGGAGTGTGAATTTCTTGGTTCCGGGAATCTGACAGAGTGATATAAACGTATTTGTCACTTCCGGATATGACATCACCGTGCGAGATTAGATTGAGCGCAACTGACAATACGTTATTACAAATATTTCTTGCACTTGACTCTTGAAAATCGTTCCGATGCAAAAGGGGTTCTTTTCTCCAGATCCGGTCTACTCCATCAGACATGACGATAATAATTTTACTGGCCTTTTCAAATTGATAACACACCCAGTGCATTATGCCAAGTTCAGCGATTTCCACTTCGTAGAACTTGGCGAACACCACGTGACAATCACAATCAGATGCCAGAAATTCGGCAAAGAGGAGCACAATCTTCATGTGGTGGTCGTTGTCATTGGAGCAGAGTAACATAACCCTTGCTGGACTAGGTTCCACAGTTGTGTCTAAAATTGCAATGCATTAAAAAAAAAAAACAGTTGTGATCAATTACTAGTAATTTAAAACGCGGCGGTCGTCGCGCAGCGCGTGTTCGAATTTCATGTAAATAAACAATGTATTTTACACGCGTTGTATACGTCGCTATGAGTATCAGGACAGGACGTGGCACGACGACTGCCGCCCTTTAAAATTGTGATACATGGTACTATTAGTTTTGTTTATCTTTTCATTTTTTTTCAAAAAAGCTATGGCATGCACAATTGTAACTAGTGTGCATACTGGAAACATACAGAAGTAAACTTGACCAGTTTTACGCACCTGTCAACCCGCCATTCATGCAAAGATCGCCATTAGGCATTGTCGTTTGATGGATACTGTTATTTTCTGTTGACGAATTCGCGCGTGAATTGACAGAATTGCACCGACTACCAGACCTGTTTCCAAAAAGATAAAACTTTTGTCTTTGCCTTTCTCCATCTATGTAATTGTCCAGTAACTTGCATCGATATTGACGATATAAAAGAAGCATTGCAGCAATAAGAAGCACGGCGAATGCTGTGCCCAGCACTGACGCAATAACTTTAGTCAGGACGTTGGTCTTACCGTCTGGTGCATCTGAAACTGTAAACAAAGACCATAAATGCAAACCAGTTCATTCTCATGTTAAATTTTGTTTTGAAGTAATCTATTTTGATGTATGGCATACGTTAGTTGGTATAGTTAGTGATCTGCGTCTGGAAAAGTTTTTTTTACAGGGTGGTAGTCGTCACGCCACGCATGCGCGAGATATATGGGTCTCATATAAACAAAGATGGCGACTTTGACTGTTGCGCAGATCAACGAATACAAACCGAGACGTTTCCAACCTTTAATTGGGTAATTTTTAGGTTATTGGAAGGTGTCGAAGGAGTCACCGGTGGTATTCAGTGCAAGTCGCGCTCAGGTCAAACCTCATAATTCCATTTGAAGAGCGCATTGGATTGTGAGAAAATCAATGTTTATCAACACAAATGTCGCTCATGCGCAGCGCGATGACCACCGCGCTTTAATTTCAATATGTGCTGACAATGTACGCACTAAAATCATCTACTGCGAGATAAAATAAAAACTCAATAAAAATGTTGTTCGTGACTAAAATCTATCTGTGATAAAAATATCAATAATTGAAAGAGTAAACAAAAGTGAGAGTAAATATGTTTCTTCGGAATAGTACATTGTCACAATAGCGTTTTATAATGATCACGTGACAAATATTAAAACTCACCATAGCAAGTACCATTTGTTTGCAGATCTCCATTTTCACACGTGCATATGTAATAATTCCCAAAAATGGTGCTGCAATTTCCATGGTTACCACATGGATTAGGTAAAGTAAAGCACGGATTGGCTACATGAATAGACATGTGACTTGATATAAGTTATTTTTTTAATTAATGTCATTTAATCAAAAATATATACAAGATCAGATTCACATGATCTCATCAGATCAGATTAATCTGATGACATTGAACATGTCCGATATTTGAAAACAAAATCGGATCAGACATCAAATTCTGAGATGTACATGGATAGATTAATCCGGTCAAATAAATCAGGCGCCAAAATTCAAGTATGACCAATTTTTTAGTAGTCTGCTCAGACTTCACATTTTGCGGTTTATATGATGCAATTTATCTGAACTGATTAGTTTGTAAATCAATCGTTATCTAACATGACCACATAATATATATTTTACATCCGGGGCTAAGCAATTGACAACAATGTTGCACGTAATGCCTGAAACTTTTACTTTTGTATTCATGTGTTTTATAATGAATACTTTCAAAGGTTCGACACAATAAATTAAAAAGGATTATCCCATTCACAGACCAGAAACAAACTCCGCTCTCATCTGGCCAATCCAATGCATACATTAAAAGGTACGTACCAGAGACTGTAAAGTTCAGTGACACGGTGATTAAACATGCCTTGCTTTGCTTGGGGATTTTACAAACACTGGCATTAGTTGGTTTAGGCATAATCTGCAAATAAAATATCATCATGTTAAAAGCGGCACACAGTCACACCGACTGCTCTGAACCATTTCAGACCAAGTCTTGATCGGATATCTTGACCCGCACCATATTATTATTATCATCAACAACTAGTCAACACACGTGTTTATTCTTGTAATCTGTATCAATGTAATGATCGCAACAAATATGAGAATCACCTTTGCTGTGTATGTTCCAGGTTCGACGTCATAGAAGGTAGCAGTGATAAGTGTTAGCTCGAGACCCTTTGAATAAAGTTGGTTTCTTTTGCGAGATATATCCCCAGGCTGTAAAAACAAGATATAGGTGGGATTTGTGTATAACCATAGTAAGTCATTTAAAGTGAAAGTTAGAATGGTGCACCGTAGTTTATTAACATATTTCTAACAATTTGTGAATATCAAATATTTAATACTAATTGGTCCGAGAGCTCCGCATTGTGTCTGCCCATAGTGCGTAGCAAGCCAACAAGTGATATAGCAACTGTGACCACACACTTATTCAAAACAAAGGGCTTTGCTGATTGGACAACGTTACAATAGCTCATTATTATTACTTACAACGCGCTTTGATTGTCGTCATGTCGTTTCTTTATTGGTGAATTTGAATTCTACCAGTCATTTTGATTTATAAAAAAGGTATATTGATAAAAACGTGTTTTAACACCCCAAGTTTTATACCTTTCACTGTATGCATTCTCACATTTCGATCGTTAACTTATTGTTCTTTTTCATTTAAACCAAATATTATAACGACATACAGCCTTGTTATTGGTCATAATACATTATTAAACAAACAAATTACTATTAAAGGACAACATGATCGTGTGTGAAAGTTTCACCATTTTTAGCTCAGATTCCGTGACAATGTGTACTATCGACAAAACAAACCCGTTATCTTTTTATTATAAATAAATATGTATAAATGTCAACCAAAGAATGTGCACACTGCGCAATGCGCAATGACTTTTATTTTTTATTACATCCGCCATTGACGTCATAGCTGACCGTGCCGAGATAATACCAGAGTCGGAGCTAGGCGTCAGTGGCGTATAGCGAGTGGAACATTCCAGTCCATCGTAAATTGCAACCTACCAAGATAACTTTCTGGTATTCACGTTGACTGCCTCTATATAAGTAGACATGGAATCGATCTAATAGATAGTCAACTGGAGGTAGATCGAATGTGACGTAGACATTGCTGTATATTGATGATGCATTCACATACGCAGGTCCCCAGTATGGGATTTTATCTGAAATACACACAAATAAGCCATAGAGTGCGGTTAATGCTATACGTGATATTATTGGGTCTATAGACGCTTGTAACTCCACTGCTTATATGCTCAATTGTAAACTTTAGTCAAATGGCCAGTTTAAATGTACGTAAATGGTGAGGATTAAATGTATAGACGTAGTAGAAATTGTTTACTATAGATACCCCGGCAGTATATGCTACCATCGCATTCACATATACAGTGCAATTCATTGTAGCTTACCTCTTAGTACACGAGTCAAAATCAATTCTCGCAAAAAAAAATCCCCATATCAAATCCACAGTGGAAAGAAAATGTATGTATGTATATATATATGTATATGTATTTAAGAAGCAATCTGGACTTTTGATTTTTAATATTCAGATTTGATACAAAATATTGATGGATACATTTAATTATTTGAACGAAAACCACTATTCTTATAGTACACAGCTGAATACTCATTTGATGTAACAAATAAATCCTCTAATACGCATGATTGTGCAGTATTTGGTACGAACAATGCTAATGAAATTTCCTATCTGACAAACAAAATAAATATATAAAACTATTTTTGTTCAAATGTATGTTTTTGATGAATAGTTAAATATTATTACATCTTTCATGAGTGCATTTGTCGTACGTAAGGCTGTCCTGCCGTCTCTGCAACATTGACGACCAGTTTGTAACATGATATATTAAAATACACAGTTTACTTACACACATCAATTACGTGCATACATTGGTAGAAATCCGGATATGATGTACACGCTGTGGAAATATAATAAATATTATTATAACATGCAAATCCCCTTGATTATAATTAACACTATAAATGTAACACCATGTATTTGACTTGATTAGATGTAACGCAATGTATTTGACTTGATTAGATGTAACGCAATGTATTTGACTTGATTAGATGTAACACTGTGTACTGGGCCTGTTCAGATGTAACACTATGTACTCGACCTATTTAGATTTAACACTGTGTATTTTACCTGATTAGACGTAACACTATGTATTTGACTTGATTAGATGAAACACTATGTATTTGTCCTGTTCAGATGTAACACTATGTATTTGACTTGGTTAGATGTAATCCTGTGTACTGGGCCTGTTCAGATGTAACACTGTGTACTGGACCTATTTAGATTTAACACTGCGTATTTTACCTGATTACACATAACACTATGTATTTGACTTGATTAGATGAAACACTATGTATTTGTCCTGTTCAGATGTAACACTATGTATTTGATCTTATTAGATGTGACACCTTGTATTTGACTTGGTTAGATGTAACACTGTGTACTGGACCTGTTCAGATGTAACACTATGTACTCGACCTATTTAGATTTAACACTGTGTATTTTACCTGATTAGACGTAACACTATGTATTTGACTTGATTAGATGAAACACTATGTATTTGTCCCGTTCAGATGTAACACTGTGTATTTGACTTGGTTAGATGTAACACTGTGTACTGGGCCTGTTCAGATGTAACACTATGTACTTGACCTATTTAGATTTAACACTGTGTATTTTACCTGATTAGACGTAACACTATGTATTTGACTTGATTAGATGAAACACTATGTATTTGTCCTGTTCAGATGTAACACTATGTATTTGACTTGATTAGATTAACACAATGTATTTAAATTGATTAGATGTAACACTATGTTTTTGAAATGATTAGGTGTACCAATGTGTATTGACTTGGTTAGAAGTAACACTATGTATTTGACTTGATTAGATGAAACACTATGTATTTGTCCTGTTCAGATGTAACACTATGTATTTGACTTGATTAGATTAACACAATGTATTTGAATTGATTAGATGTAAATGATTAGGTGTACCAATGTGTATTGACTTGGTTAGAAGTGACAGTGTGTACTTGACTTGATTAGATGTAACACTATGTATTTGTCCTGTTCAGATGTAACACTATGTATTTGACTTGATTAGGTGTAACACAATGTATTTGAATTGATTAGATGTAAATGATTAGGTGTACCAATGTGTATTGACTTGGTTAGAAGTGACAGTGTGTACTTGACTTGATTAGATGTAACACTATGTATTTGACTTGATTAGATGTAACACAATGTATTTGAATTGATTAGATGAAACACTATGTATTTGACTTGATTAGATGTAACACTATGTATTTGACTTGATTAGATGAAACACTATGTAGTTGTCCAGATCAGACGTAACACTATGTATTTGACTTGATTAGGTGTAACATAATGTATTTGAATTGATTAGATGTAAGACTATGTTTTTGAAATGATTAGGTGTACCAATGTGTAGTGACTTGGTTAGAAGTGTAGTGACTTGGTTAGAAGTAACACTGTGTACTTGACTTGATTAGATGAAACACTATGTAGTTGTCCAGATCAGACGTAACACTATGTATTTGACTTGATTAGGTGTAACATAATGTATTTGAATTGATTAGATGTAACACTATGTATTTGACTTGATTAGATGAAACACTATGTAGTTGTCCAGATCAGACGTAACACTATGTATTTGACTAGATTAGGTGTAACATAATGTATTTGAATTGATTAGATGTAAGACTATGTTTTTGAAATGATTAGGTGTACCAATGTGTATTGACTTGGTTAGAAGTAACACTGTGTACTTGACTTGATTAGATGAAACACTATGTATTTGTCCTGTTCAGATGTAACACTATGTATTTGACTTGATTAGATTAACACAACGTATTTGAATTGATTAGATGTAACACTATGTTTTTGAAATGATTAGGTGTACCAATGTGTATTGACTTGGTTAGAAGTAACACTATGTATTTGACTTGATTAGATGAAACACTATGTATTTGTCCAGATCAGACGTAACACTATGTATTTGACTTGATTAAGTGTAACACAATGTATTTGAATTGATTAGATGTAAATGATTAGGTGTACCAATGTGTATTGACTTGGTTAGAAGTAACACTATGTATTTGACTTGATTAGATGTAACACTATGTATTTGTCCTGTTCAGATGTAACACTGTTTTTGAAATGATTAGATGTAACACAATGTTTTTGAAATGATTAGATGTAACACTGTGTACTTGACTTGATTAGATGTAACACTATGTATTTGTCCTGTTCAGATGTAACACTATGTATTAGACTTGATTAGGTGTAACACAATGTATTTGTCCTGTTCAGATGTAACACTATGTATTTGACTTGATTAGATGTAACACTATGTATTTGTCCTGTTCAGATGTAACACTATGTAATTGACTTGATTAGATGTAACACTATGTATTTGTCCTGTTCAGATGTAACACTATGTATTTGACTTGATTAGATGAAACACTACGTATTTGTCCTGTTCAGATGTAACACTATGTATTTGACTTGATTAGGTGTAACACAATGTATTTGAATTGATTAGATGTAACACTATGTTTTTGAAATGATTAGATGTAACACTATGTAATTGACTTGATTAGATGTAACACTATGTATGTGACTTGATTAGATGAAACACTATGTATTTGTCCTGTTCAGATGAAACACTATGTATTTGTCCTGTTCAGATGTAACACTATGTATTTTACTTGATTAGGTGTACCAATGAGTATTGACTTAGTTAGATGTAACACTATGTACTGGACATGATTTGATGTAAAACTGTGTACTGGACGTAATTAGATGTGTTTGACATGATTAAGTGTACCAATGTGTATTGACTTAATTAGACGTAACACTATGTATTTGACGTGATTAAATGTAACACTATTTTCTCTGGGAATGAGTATAGACTGGAGATTTGTAATTTGGGAAATATGATGATTTATTGATTGATTAACTAATTAAATAAGCAATTAAATGTATGTAGAGCTTCAATTAATCTCCTATTTTCGAGCATGTTGCATCGTGATGGAAATAATAGTTAAAAAATAATTAATCGTAAGACAAAAACGTTGCTATGGCAGTAACACAGCAGTGTTCGTTCGATTCAATAACACTTGACGCCAAAGATACGTATATGTTACCTTAGGGTATAATACAATATAGTAGTGAAAGCGGGAGGGTCGTCACCTGCGCACGCGCGGGAATTGAGTCCCAAGCGACGATAACAACACACGCTAAAAACGCAAAGGCTCGTGGGTAGACGCTTGTTCGTAAACAATAACACGCTATGACCATTTGACGCAAGCGCAGGTTACGACTTCCTTGCTTTAAATGAAAGCTTTTTCATATGTAACATATGGCGTCCTTGTCCCGCATGAACATTATTTAGCATTTATATAAATGAATCTCATCGCGTACTTCCCCGTCGGCGATTTCAGCATTTCATCCACTTCCTTCCAGGTTGCCTCAAGTACATAAGAGTTATGTTGAGAAGGCCGATGGTGGCAGTCTTGCGTTTATAGTATGTGCGTGATATTATCCGACGCGAGTACAGGGATAAAATATGTGTACATGTCTTTGAATATAACGATGCTCTTTTTCATTTTGACCCAGCAGATAGCTAGTTCTATGACATATATACATAAATGCATCAATACGATTTAACCATAGACACTGTTTGACCTTTGACCGCGATAGGCACAGTCCCTGTTAAGGGACTGTGCCATAGGCTATGATAGAACATCTGTCTGGTTTAAAGGGCGGCAGTCGTTGTGCCGCGTCCTGTTCGATACGGGACTCATGGCGACGTACACAACATGTGTAAAATACATTGTTTATCTACATGAAATTCGAACACGCGCTGCGCGGCGACCACCGTCCTTTAAATAATTCAAAAATTACTAACAACTTTCAAATGTGAAAATTACGAGCCATTCATTGAGAATTCGGTTTCGCGAGAACATCAAATTACAATTCTTCTAAGCCGCACTGTCTGTCGACGATAGGTTTCTGTGACGTCAGTGTCAAAACAATTATGAATACTTCGAATAGTCTTCATGTCACTTTACGTCACGGAAGCGCATTTTTGTAGAGGTGTCTTATATTATAGAATAGAACACTTTTCGGAAGTAGTGAGACTGGGGTGCAAGCACGAGACCCGCCTTTTTCATGGTACAAACTCAAACATGTCAGTCTGTTGATATTCCGTATAAAAGGGATTCTTATTTTTGTCACGTCGATTGGTACACCCTCAAGCACAATATCGCGCGTGCAAGTTTACGTTACACCCCAAAACAGTATGCGCGCATGCGAAACGCCGTATTTTCGACCTGCGGGAAAGTGGTAAAGGTGTATCAACACATTCCACGTGTTAACGCGTAATCACCACCAGGATATATAGAGTCATAAAAAAACACTTGCAATAACAATAATGTGCAGTAAATATTTGAGATTTACAAGAAATTGATACATACATGGTATTATGATTTCTTTTTTCACATTTGTCTTGTATGCTGTGTCAGCTACGGGCAGAACGATCACTTCAATCTGGTATCGTGAATACGGCGACAAGGGCCGGAAACAGTCCCAGTAAAACGTGACAAGTGGCGGCACCTGTACGAGTCATGAGAAGGTGCAACACAATCTGATTAAAATATGATCTATTGTTTTTGCTTTTTGGTTATAATTTAGTTTTTTTTTTCACTTTACTTTAGTATTGTTTGTCATTTTGCCATTTTTGTGGAGTTTCGTTCAAGTTTTACAAGTTTTTTGTTTGAAGAATAATTTCGTTTATTGAAGTTGGTCGGACCACAGTCCAAACCATCTATTAGGTGACGATAACACAAAATGATATACACATGTATCTCGCCTTATTCGGATTGAAGAACTTACAGCGTAGTCTACCAGACCATGCACAAAGTAGTGAAAGTTAGTACGAAGGATTTAAACGATCCTATTTCAAACAAATAAGTTATCGTCACTGACATGGCCACAATCCCATTAAACGACACTAAATCTAAAACCTAAAATGTATATTTCACACAGAATTGTGTGTCGCGTACCAAAAATGTTAACAGTTTGAAATTAGTGTCTTTTTGTGTTTTTAAAATCAACAACGCCGCCGCCGCCACTACCATCACCACCACCCTGTAAGTCCGGACAGAATCAAGGTTAGCATACCTCCTCCTGTGAGACAGACCCAGAAAAGTTGAAAGTCTGACAGATTTCGCGGCCGAAGTATGAATATTTTTCGAATAGGTGGTTGTTGGTCAGTCCACGCAGGATGAATACAAGTCCTGATACATGCCCTAAATCTATGAAAAAAGAAACGAGGAGTTTAGTTTCTTACAATTCTAGTTTATGATCAGCGAAACAGTATTATGCTCTTACAAGTCATTGTCTTAATCAGAATAACAAACGAACAAACAACAAACCAGTCAACTAAACAGATTGCAATAAAAACATTAAAAACATTAAAGCGGGGGAGTCGTCACCTGCGCATGCGTCGGATGGCCATAGCGTGTCATTGTTTACAAACAAGCGTCTACCCATGAGCCTTTGCGTTTCTAGCGTGTGTTGTTATCATCGCTTGGGACTCAATTCCCGTGCGTGCGTAGGTGACGACCCTCCCGCTTTAAAAGAGTGCAATATTTGGGGAATAAAGGACAACGCAAAAACACACATTTTGTGAAATAAAATGACCAGGATTTCTTAACAGAACGAATCATAATCAGTTTGTTGTTTAAACAGTCCTTAAATATGCCGAAAAAAAAACAGAATATAGCTGATTAACACGCAATCATATTCGTCCCATTCGCGCATTGTCCAAAAGCCAATCCAACTTCGATAACTGGTCAGCACGTGGTATCGATCGGCCAATGAAAACACGCCGCTGTAGTACGCGATATTATAATGTAACTTAACATTTATTATGTTCAATGTTACATAATCCTTGAATACCGACCTGAATATTTAATTTGTAATTATCAAGAATTTAATTTATTTTACTGATTGCAATAAACAAACTATTCAGACATTGTATCCGTTAAACCAAGTAAAGTTAAAATTTAGTAATTCAAAAGTGTGGAAAGAAAACCAAGCCACCCCCTTAACATTATTTGCACTCATCTCGTTGTTTGAAATGACATTTACTATACCTGCTGTGATTAACGTCACACTAACATTCAACGCAGGAATAATCATCGCACCGTCCCAGTACGAAGGATACCACGTGACGTTCATGCTGACTGGTGGTTGGGGTAAATCTTGCTGTTTAACCGGCGTGAAACCAAGAAATGGTATACGTGTACAGTCATCTGTAGAATACAACGGAGAGTATATTACTCAGAATGCATCAAGCATCTGACATTTTTTTCAAGATTTTTCTGTATTCATCTGTGCTATAACTACCAACTTGTAAGAACAAAATGGCCGATAGGATGATGTACTCCGACAAAAGAAAGCTATACGTGACAAACCCGCAGTATGATATTAAAAACGAATTTGTATACTTTTGAAGTGAAAAATTTCACAAAAATATGACAAAATATCATGTTATATATAGTAGAATACAATATTTGATTTTACTCACCGTATCGTTCCAAGATATCACATGACATACTGTTCGTCAGCTGAAATATAAACAAAACATAAAATACAATTGTAAATCACCCCTGGCTTGAATAACCAGAATTGACCAGAATGATATCGTATCTGTTAATGTGCAATTGTACGCAGATTGATATGTTCAAGAGAACAAAATAAAATAATTAACAAAATTGCTAAACTGTCATCCAATAGACCATTTTCCGTTCACTGCGAGAATCACGCGTTATGCGTGAAATCGAACGTAAAAACAGGACAAACAAAGGTCATAGCGTCGTAGTCGCGTCAAACATCGCGTGGGATTCGACAAACGCGAAAGTATTTCGGGAACATTTCCATGCTTAATAATGTGCTGTTCACATTTCATGATAGGCAATTTCGATTAAGTAAGGGTATTCGGAAGCAATATTCCTCTGTCGAAGATCGGCCGGTCAACGTAAGCTACGAAATAAAGAAATTCTAGTTCAAAATCAAATCGTTCGATTTTTGCGGCAGACGTTCGACGCGCGTCTTTCATGCATCTCGCGAGATCTCGCAAATGTACGGAAACTCACCTATTAAATTGACTGCGCAATTATTTTATTTGCTTTGGTAATACGGTTTATATTTAAATTTGTTGGCCATTCAATGAATTTGCATTCTATCGCCATGCCCTCTTTCTTTCGTGAACAGTGTGAATGCACAAAACACGTGATGTTTTAACGTCCTTAACTTCCTTCAGAAAATCAACAGGTGTCGTTGCGAATGGAAAGAAAATTATATTGTCACCTCTTACAAAACACTAGTTGATATCCTAGTATACAATACACATTTAGAGTTTGTGAAGACAAGTAATTTATGTAACTTAGGCTACACTTCTCTATTTATTGTTCCTTTACCCCCAGTACGTAATCTAAAGACAAACACGTGTTGAAGTAGACGGGGTCGTTTTGGGTCAATGGTTACTATCAAGAAACAAGCCATCACAGCAAACACAGCAGTAAAAGTACAATACATAACCTTGTGACGTGTTCACTTTATGGTGTATGCCTTTACATACATACATTCTCTATTCAGTCATTGCGTGAGTCCACTTTAACGAATTAACACGATTATAAAGGGCAACTAGATATAAAGCTTATATATATATATATATATATATATATATATATATATATATATATATATATAAATCGTTTCTCGGTCGATCTAACTAATTAACTTAGTTAAATCGATCGAGATATGATATATAGTAGACTTAATAATGGCAAGTAAAACCAAAATATATTCATGAATAACAATGAAAAATATAAAGAAAATAAGAAAAATGGAGCATATACCTACATAGGATTTTAATCAGATCGGAAGAGTGGTAACTTTCCGTAACAATTTTCAGTAGAGAAATGTCATTAAAATGAAGGAATTGACTATTAGAAACTCCGGTAGGTGATATTTCAGTAGAGAAATGCCACGACAATGTAGGAATTGACTATTAGAAACTCTCGAAGGTGATATAAGCTTTTCCTGGACTTCTTTTCAGGACGGCACAGCTTAAAAACAAATTTGATTTTCCTTTCTCCTTGTTATTGATACATTTGTTTTTTTCATTTTGCCTGATTTTATTTTAAAAACTTCTTCGAAAGAATAGAATAGAATAGAATAAGTAGAATAGAATAGAATAGAATAGAATTTTACATTTTAATTCGGAATGTAAACTCAATTTATTCCCACCATAAAACAAAATAAACTAAACTAAACAGTATTAAATACAACATAAGAGTAATGAACATCATATTGTGCTTCGGGTTAGAATAGTGTATACACTGCGTTGAAACTGTGTAATACTTGGTGGCACTAAACACATAGGGTAACATCATTAAGATGTTTATGATATGTACGTGTAAACAAACAAATATATGTACGTGTTTTACCAAAATATTTTTATTTTATGAATAAACCATAGCGTAATGTTTTGTCAAGACGCAATATCGAAAAAAAATATGTTAACATGCTAAAAATTATTAAAGTTATTGCCTAATTAACAAACAGTACAGACTCTTTAAGGAAGAAGTATAGCTATGATCAGCAATGCATCACAGAGATTAATCACATTAAATTAAGGAATACCAAAATATAGCTTAAAGGGCGACAGTCGTGCCGCGTTCTGTTCGATATGGGACTCATAGCGACGTATACAACGCGTGTAAAATACATTGTTTATCTACATGAAATTCGAACACGCGCTGCGCGACGACCACCGTCCTTTAACACAATGACAATTCGCAGAATTGGAAGCGCAGATCGTCAAGTGCGTTTTGGAGAACTCGTCATCAGAAAAACCTCAATACAGAACAAGGAACAGAAAAAAACTACAATCTACCTGTATAACCCGACCCCTGCAACACAAAGGTCTGGCATACTTACTTTTAAAGAGTAATCTATTTAAGAGTGTTACTAGGCGGAAGAGAAAGTAATGAGGGTGGACCTGGGAGTAACCAGCATCTACCCACCTGTTTGTCACAGCTTTGTACACAAATTGGGTTCCAGTTCGCACGCGCCATTACGATACCATATTCCAGTAGAAATATGAGAGTAAACATGGTGTGGGGAGAACGACATTTGTAGAACTACTCACGCTGACCTACACTTAAGTAGAACAAGAAACACGCATGTTAATGCGCGGCAAGTCATGCACATCAGAACCCCTAGGAAAGTGAGTTTTCACCAGAAAAAATAACGAGACGGAAATCATGCATGAAATTCTCTATAAATGCTTGTTCCATATTTTGTGTCACCTTGTACGTCGCGACAATGTCATAATGAACTAATGTTCGCTTGCAGTTAACAAGTCATAGTTCATCCAAACACAATAAGAAAGTGCAAATTGTGTTCCAGGTAGTTTGAAGAGGAAATTCTCATATGTGTTGTATTCTACATTAAGAGTACAAACTGTGCTATAAAAAAGTACCAGATTGGGTGTCTAATTTGTGTGGTGAGATGTATGTTATCGTAAAAAATATGTTTACAAATAGTAAATGCGTACAGCATGTATTCAGAATTGCAAAGGGAGAACACCAGCACAGATTTACAATATCGCCACACATTTGCTAGGCTACTGGGCGATATATATGTTGATGAATAAATGTACATTGCCGTGATAGCAAAATAAAGGAATTTACCTGTTTTAAGTAATGAAGAGGAGATGGAAATTTATTGGACACACCTTAAGAGAGGATTCTACAAGTACATGCAACACAGTATTGACTGGGGCCCCAGAAGGGAAAAGGAAACTTGGTAGACACAAAACAACTTGGCGACGCATTGTTGAGAAGGAAAGAAACAAGCCTGGATGGCAGTCATGTGGCGAAGCCAGAGTTGCAGCAGCTGATGGAGACGTTCGGTGGGGACCCTATGTGCCACTAGGCATCTGGAGGATAGGCAGATAGATAAAACTTATTGTAAGTTTCCTGTCGTATGTGTGAGTGAGTGCGAGTGCGAGTGCGAGTGAGAGTGAGAGAGAGAGTGAGAGTGAGAGTGAGAGTGAGAGTGAGAGAGAGTGAGAGTGAGAGTGAGAGAGAGTGAGAGTGAGAGTGAGAGTGAGAGTGAGAGTGAGAGTGAGAGTGAGAGAGAGAGTGAGAGTGAGAGAGAGAGTGAGAGTGAGAGAGAGTGAGAGAGTGAGAGAGAGTGTGAGTGAGAGTGAGAGAGAGTGTGTGTGTGTGTGAGAGAGAGAGTGAGAGAGAGTGCGAGAGAGAGTGCGAGAGAGAGAGTGAGAGTGCGAGAGAGTGAGAGAGAGTGAGAGAGAGTGAGAGTGAGAGAGAGTGTGAGAGAGTGTGAGAGAGAGTGAGAGTGTGTGAGAGAGAGAGAGTGAGAGAGAGTGCGAGAGAGAGTGCGAGAGAGAGTGCGAGAGAGAGTGAGAGTGCGAGAGCGAGAGAGTGAGAGAGAGTGAGAGTGAGAGTGAGTGAGAGAGTGTGAGAGTGTGAGAGAGAGAGTGAGAGAGAGAGAGAATGTAGGTTTAACAATATGTGGGATACTAGTATGTTGCAAGCTCTTGTGACCTTATGCCGTGTTTATAAGAAAGCAGTTGTCGCATACGACTTATTTACCACTTCCGCGTCACTGAGAATGTTCTAGAACCGTACTGTGTCTGGGTGTAATTTTCTACATTTTTTTTAGAAACTGGTCGAATAGGTAATACCGAACTCCGCGCAGTTCGATACGCGTTACTTATCATCACTGCACAAAGCAGATTTGCATAGGACTCATTTGCATATTCGAATATGTTCGAACTACAAGACCTTGGCGGTTAATAAAGTTATGCGAAAGTCACTTAGTTACTATAATCACTTTAGTATGACGTTTCACGCCCTGAATCCGAATAAAATGTTTAGTAATTAGAACAAAATATACAAGACTTGCTTTAGAAAACTGCAATAATTTCCTAGATGACAAAGCATCATAATGTACAATAAATAAATAACTTTATAAACTTACTAGAACCTTTGTGTTCTATGACTGTTAGACGCGGAAAATCGAACCCGTTCAAGCCAGAAATAGTATTGAAATATTCACCAGAATACAAGATGAACGGAAATGTTAGGAAACCCCTTTCAGTGAAATTAGTCTTTAATGTTTCTTTCCCAACTATATTCGTTAACAGAGCGTTTCTTTCCTCCAAGTTCTAGTGTATCACGTGCGCCATTTCTCTACTGTAACATTACCTTGCAAAACATAGTCCGCGATAAAATGGTTCGTATTTACTTTTTTACTGAGGTCTGACATTAATAAATAGTTCGGATGTCACATACGTTTTTTCCCCACTTTTTGTAGTACGTTTTCAGATGTAACAGGTACAAGAAAATGGCCGTGCGTAGTGAGGTGATTGACCACAAAATTGAAGGCTGCCTGTGGCAGAGGCACTATTGCGTAAAGCGCAAAGGCCTCTGGGATGGAGATTGAGGTAATACAACACTGTAGAAGGCAATAGAAGGTAATGGAACATTCTAGAAATTTATAGTAAATTCCAAATAAA